GACCTTCAGGTTATCTACTGAATTTGTAGTCCACCTATCCCATTTTATCTCAGCAGTCTGGCTGCAAGGATCAATGTCAGAAATCAGCAGATGCCTCTGCTGCTTTCGCCTCATCCAGCAAGACAGTTATCTCATCATATCACAGTCTCAGGTTGGTCCATCAAAATTTGCCCTTGGTAAATCTATTCTGACTGCTCCCAGTCACCTTCTTGTCTTTCATGTGCCTGGGCATTGCTTCTAGGAGGATTTACCCCTTAATTTTACCATGGGCTGAGGTTAGGCTGACTGGTCTGCACCTGACTGAATCCTTCTTGCCTTGCTTGTAGATGGCCATGACATAGAATCATAGAATACCAGGTTGGAAGGAACCTCAAGGATCATCTGGTAGAACCTTTCTTGGCAAAAGCACGGTCTAGACAAGATGGGCCAGCACTCTGTCCAGCTGAATCTTAGAAGTGTCCAATGTTGGGAATCCATCACTTCCCTGAGGAGATTATTCCAATGGCTGATTGTTCTCATTGTGAAAAATTTTCCTCTTGTGTCCAGTCGGAATCTCCCCAGGAGTAACTTGTACCCGTAAGTGGTACGTGTGGTATTGGAATACTGTGGCAAGGTGACTACCATCTCTTACACCTCAGCTCTGGTCTGTGGCTAATGCATGAAAAAAAGCGTAAAATGTTCAGATATGAAAATGTTAAGGCTGTGTATGAATTTGGAACAGATAAAGTGTTAAAAGAAACCGTAACAGACTGCCTGTCTTTTAAAAATTAATCAGTGACCAGCAACACAGGTTTTCACTTGTCTCCAATCTTTAAAGGTGTCCCTTCTGAATAAGACATGATATTAGCTGCAGTCCCTGATTTCAGTGCTTACCTCTGATTAAGATCAATGTTTCAAGGTAAGCACATGCCATAGCGCTATGTGAAATGAGGATGGATTTAAGCATAGAATTTAAGGGGGAGGAGGGGGCAAACGCTGTACCCCAAGTATCCAGCTTACTGCTCCAGTGCATCTTTTTATGTCTGCCTTGCCTTTAAATTGAATCTCTGATGCAGACATTCTGTAATAGTACTTTCAAGTTATTTGCATCCAGTCTACAGAACCTTTTAGTTCTAGTTTTAAATTAAGGACTCCAGTGGTTTCAGTCCTTGATAAGTAAAGCAGCAGGATTTCACACCAATCACACCAAGGCTCGGTTACATTTTAGTCACAGCAGTGAAGTGATCCATGAAACTGACTGTACTGTAAAATCTCATTGTTATATGGATGAGGGAATGGACTGGCTCCAGACAGTAAAACAATCCCAAGACGGGGAAGAAGGCATATCGAAGCTTTCAGCTGAGAGAGTTGTTCAGAGCAAAATGTGTTCTTTTGTTAGGGGGCTTCAAACCATGGTCTAAAGCTGATTAGGCAATGGGAGCTGTTCTTGGGTGCCAGTGTGATACTACCAGAGTGCAGTATACGCTGTTCACAGACGACATTGCGCGCTCACCTTATCCCACCAGGTGCTGGATTTCTGTAGAGCAGAGTGAAAAAGAGCGTAGGTGTTTACCACCAGATGAATTTTTATGGAGGATGATTAGTGTATCTCTTCAGCCCTTTATTTAGTCTTTCCTTCTCTGCTTGCAGTTATTTATTTTCATTATTTCAGCATCACTAAAATAAGACCATTCTGCTCTTGTATTTGTCCATTCCAACCTGGACTCTGATACCTGAGATATGCCAAAGTGCAGAGCATTCACATCTTAACTGATAACTCTGGGATCTGGGGTCCTGAAAACTGCTAATAAGTGAGGATCAGAATGCCTTGAGTATGAAATCAAGGAGAATTCATGCAATTTTCCACAGAAAATTTCCCATAGGCTTTTCAAAAATAGTTCATCATAGAAAAATACACTAAATAAAATGTATTTGCTACTGGTTGATTTCAGAATTCCTGAAGAATGCATCCAGAAAAAGTTTTGAGCCCTCATTGAAAATAGCTGATTCATTCATACTGCATAGGGAAAAAAATTATCCTAATGATCTGGTTATTCCTTCCTGTGCTTCCAGCAAGTCAACAGCTCTCCACAGTACTGACTCAGCTACAGCCTAAGAGACCCTGCAAAGACTTCTGAAAGTCATCAAAACTAAGCTTTTGAAGGCTAGTGAGCAAAGCCGTCCCTCCAGTGAAAGGCCTTTGCCAGGTCACCCCTTGCCATTTAAATTGAGCAGCTTAAGTACTGAAGCTAATATGTGTAACACTGTGATGGATGTAATATGCTCTCTGCAGGAAAGCCCCCCCGCCCTGGTCCTTTAAATGCCGGTGCTGTCCCTCTCTGCCAGTCTCGTTACAAAGACTCATTTCTGTGTTGATAACATAGCAGTGACAGTAGATATCAGCTCAATGCAGGAAGGAGGACTGTTGAGCCTGAGGGGAAATTTCATCTGTGATAGAGCAAATTTTGTTCAGTCTCCTGACACAGACATCAGTTCATGTGACCTGGGTCTGGGCCCTCTCTAATGACCAGTTTGTTGCTGGAAGCCTTGTTTCTTGTGCTACCTCAGCAGGAGGCATTGCAATCACAGGCTGAATTAAGCCTTTGAGCATTTTATTCTAACTATGTGTAGAGATGCACCATCGGCGAATGCCATCCTAGTCCATGGCCAGCCTGTCCAGACAGGAGCCTGCTCATATCAGTATCCATTCCCCTGGGTTGCTGCTGTGCCACGGTGTGGATGATCCAGGCTTTCCCCTCAAGAAATCTCATTATTTATGAAAGCAGAATAGTCTCTCCCCTCTTCTTCCTTTGATTAATTTTTTTTTTCCTTCATGTCAATTGCCTGAAATGAATAGTAGCCAGATACCTCTTTGCTTTATCAGTAAGCAAAGCTGATGGCAAAGGTCCTGATGAGAATGTTTAGAAGAGTGGAAAACTCTTCCCTGCGAGAAGAATTAGCCTGAGAGCCTGCAATGGGAAGGGTTGGCTTTGGAGAATGACAGCAGAGAACAAAATATCTTCTGTTAAAACAAAGAAATCAATATTCTCTGGACTTCTAAGTCCTGGCTGTGGACATTCAGAGTGTATTTTTCTCCCAGTGCATGAGTATACCAGCAGCCCCATTGATTACGTGCTTATATCAGGAGGATGATCTATACCTCTTTTGGAGAGGTGCTAGCTCTCAGGAGAGAACCACTGAGATTTCATGGCGAGATGTATCACAATTGCTATAAAATTGCAATTTATCTGCTAAATTTTTTTTTGACTGAGATAACACCTTGCCAGAAAAGTGAAGCTGCTATGATTTTCTATAATAGCACTCATGACATTTACGTACCCTTGCCTCTTGCATATCTGCCTTGTGAATATCTCCAGGCCAAAATGTAAAGGTGCATATTTACAAATCACAGCTTTTTCCACAATTTACTTTGTGATGTTGACAAGGGCTGAGTCACAGAAGGTATGAAGCGTTGTAGTGCTCCTGTCTTTGTTGGAGGCTTTCACATGTTTATAGTAAAGCACGAGCATAGGTGCACTCAGTACCAGAGGTGATGTTGAGCTATTAAATATGCCCATGAAAATCTGATATGGTCACAAACATTAAACCATTATCTCAGTTCTCATTTGAGCCGGTCCTGTTTTCCTGTTGATGTATCTGTTTGTTAGAAAATACTGTTTGGGGTAGGAAGGGATTATTTTTTGTCTGCTGTACCCTCCAGTCATTTTCTGTTATTTTTTTGTTCAGCTTAATTTATGTTTTGAGTGTAATTTACTTGTCTTTTAAAAAAGAATGTTCATATAATTAATGATTTTTCAGTGAGACACGGTGTTTCTGATTTCCAGTTTTCCATTTTTTTCTGAAATTTGAAGATTTGAATCAAACGAAGATGAATTCTTCAGCTTTCAAACTCGATGAGTTCAAAATGCATTTTAATTTCCTTTCTGGTTCTCAGTTTTAATCCAGAGGACCTCACTTTTCAACACAAGTTCACATGCCGTCCAATCCTGAATGAATTATTGAGCTTTTGAACACTTAGTTCGTGGACAGAATCCTAAGGAAAAGCAGAAAGTAGAAAAGGAGGGAAAAAGAAATTAGAAGACTTCTATAGAAATAAAACTCATTAAATTTGTTGCTTTTATCTGTGTTACAATTGTGGAAAATGTATTTATGGAAGGTTTTGTTTTGTTTTACAAGCTAAAGCTAGAAACAGCACTTAAACTCACAGTTGATAGTCTATAAGTTATTTTTATGGCTGGCTTTACTACTTGTTTACATGACACATCTCACAGAGATACCAGGCATTTAAACATCAACCAACTATTGGCATTCAATGAAGCTCATTAGTTTTAATTGTATTTATTTGTATGCCTATTATAGTAGCATTTACCAGCTGAAATTAATATTGCCTAGATTGATTTCTCCATCAGTCATCTAGACTCTACCCATAAACAATACAGACAGGCAACTTGAGAAAGCAAGTTGTGCCACCTGTCCTAAATGCCCTTCTGAGGAAGGGATGAATCACACTCTGAAGACATTTCTTTTCTGACCACAGGAAAAGCCTTGTTAAAAGTGTTTGCCTTTTGTATACGTGCAGTTAGGCCAAAGGAATTGTGGCCGTCATAAAAAAACAAGAGCTCATCATCTAAGTAAGCCAGGTATAAGCAGGGGGAGGAAGACGGTAGCGGAGGTGGAATCTCTTACACAAGGATCCAGCAGATCAGTGACAGAGCTTCAGCTTTCAGACTGATATTTTACTTCAAGCCTTCCCTTCACCTTTATAGTCAGTGTGAGCTCTGCTATGGGAGTCAGTGTGAGCAGGATGAGAGCCTAGATGGCCACCTGTAATGATTTAAAATTGGTGGGTTTATGTTTATCTGTTCAGAAATCACTGCTATACTTCACATATTTTGCAGCCAGTGTCACATCACTTTGTGTTATTGGCTACCTGGGGAGCGGTATAAACCAGAGAAGCGTCCCACTCAAACCTTACTAATGAAACCTCTTTTGCATTGCAGTTGACCTGGACAGGTTGAATGATGATGTGAAACGTTACAGCTGCACTCCAAGAAACTACTCTGTCAATTTAAGGGAGGAACTGAAGCTGACAAATGTGGTTTTCTTCCCCCGCTGCCTCCTTGTCCAGCGTTGCGGAGGAAACTGTGGCTGTGGGACTTCGAACTGGAAATCCTGCACATGCATGTCAGGGAAAACAGTGAAAAAATATCATGAGGTATTTTCACTCCTTTTCTTTTCTTTCATACTTCTTTTGGGTATTTATTGCTTATGTGGATTCTGAAGGCTTTTCTCAGAGCTATGTGCGCTGCTTATATTGATTATCATTGTTATATTGGTCGTGCTATATCATGTTACATTATCATTATGTTATATCATGTTATATTATCATTATCATGTATTATCATGCTTATATCAATTATCATGTTGGATCTGCAGTGCAAAAATTAATGGGCAAAAATCACTGACCCCAGTCAAGTGTCATAGGCAAAGATGTTATCATTTGAGAAAGACCAGAGTGTTTAAGTGAATGCTGCCTGTGGTGACCACTCTTCCTGAGGAGAAGGATCTGCTGAGGCTTCCATACAGGCTCAGGTAGCCTGAGAATGGAGCCTAGACTTAGATAATGGCATTGCTCTTGCTGTCCATGCTAGATACCAGCTTGGTACCTCGTGGAGCAGCATTCACACCTTTCACTGCAGTAAGCCGTAGAGAGGCAAACATCCACGGAGTCAACTTGCAAGAAGGCCTGATTTTAAATAAGTTTAATATTGATGTCTTTAATGTCACATTACAATATATACATAGTAGCACAGCTTCAGGATACTGCAGTTTCTCTTTTTTCAGAACTTCTACTATTTTCTTGATGAACTTCTGCCTTTGGGATATATGGTGAATACAGTTGCCCAGTGATTTACATTTGGAAGTGGTGAATGAGCAGAGAGTGGAAGGAGGTTATACATGTGTTAGAAAGGGGTGTTAACAGGTATTTATGGGTAAGTTAATTTAGAAGTTGGTGAGAATTTTTGCCACCCCTCTGCGTGGATGCTACCACAGCATCCTAGTGAACTTCGTTGCAAGAATGAGGCTTACATTGGACTGATTTTTCCCAGCGAAGGACTGATACAACTGCTGGAAATATTGTTTAGTAACACAGAGACATGAGTTCCTTGAGGCATTTGACTGCACTTCCTCTTGTTTTGTGCTATATCTTTTAAAATTATGACCATGCCTGGAAATGACAATTAAGTCACTTGTAAACTCTCTTCCCTTCCAGATTTATTACCTGTAGGAGGCAGCTGAATCTTTTGGCCTTAGCTTTTTTCCCACTCAGCAATTTTTTAGGAAGGCAAAATTTTTGCATAAGAACAAAGTCCATCATATTTCTTTTTAATCTATTCAGAACACATTTAGAGAGGAGAAAAACAAAGAAAGAGCATTTTATATCCTTGCCTCTAAATCAGTATTTTCAGAATCAGACATGAACAATATTCACTAAAGTGAATATATCTAGGAAAGTTACTTGGTGTTATCCTTTCAATTGTCTGAAAGTATGTAGCTGCATGCTATGCTGACTTAATTTCTGACACATATCTCTTAAAAGGGCCTGATTTGCCACTTTGCTTAAGTCTCAAGTGAAAATGAACTTTATAGACTTTAAATCTGGATGTGATGTGGGCTCATACCATAAAAACATTAACTCACGAAACCCGAAGGCTGCAATAGCAGAAAGCTGTTGGAAGGTTAGACCTTTGCCTCACTGTGAGCAGTGTGGTTACTCTTTTCCAAAGTAAGAGATTTTTCTCACAATTAACTGCAGAATACAGCATACTCCACATCAGCTAGGACTAGAGAATAGTTAATATTTTATCTAATTTTAAGCAAGATGCAGGGGATGACCCTGGTAATTACAGAGCGGAAAGCCTTATCTCAGTAGTAGAAAAGTTAATTGGAAAAAAATTAATAGGTATAAAACACCTAGATGACTATGAGCTGATAAAAATGAACTCGGAATGCCTTATGTATGAATAAATATTTATACAGCACCATAACATTGCACAAGAATGCTAAAAGACCTGGCACCTCCTTCAGATAGCAAACAGTTGACCAGACAAGATCAGATGTGGATTAGAAGATGGTTAAGAGATAAAGAGCAAAGAGGTGGAAGAGATGAGCAATTTTCTACATAGGAAGTGGCTATCTGTAGGTGCCCCCAGCACATGGATTAAGTGTTATCTCATGTATGATCAATCTGGAGGGACGTGAACAGAGAGGTGACAAAAATGTAAGCTAGCACAGGAGATAACATACTTTAACAGAGTATACTTCTGTTATACATACTTTTTGTAGAGAAGGCTGCAAGGGATTTCAGAAGGCCTATGTAACTATTTATAAATACAGTTTAGAAAAGCAGCAAGTAGTAGGATGAGCAGTCTTGACTATTCATATAACACCGTGCGTGAGGGGAGGAGGGAGAAATGAGAGGTGGAAGTTGGACTAAAGGTCAAGTAGCGAATCACTGTGAAGAGCTTCAGGAAAACAGTTGTTTAGTGCAATGGTGATGGGAAAAAAACAAGTGACAGTCTTCTGCAGGAATAGAGGTGAACGGGTAATAACACAGCAAATATTTATTATGGCCTGGATAAATTGGTGGGGTACTTACACTGGGTTTTGACTGTTGGTGCTTAGAAGGATACAGGCAGGAGTAGAAAAGATACACAGAAGCAGAAAACATACATCAAGAGAGATACAGGTGAAGATACACATCAAAAATGTTTGTAAGGAAAGTGGCTCAAAAGTTTTGGATCATTTCATTTAGAAAAAAATGACAATGAGAGAGGACACCATGAAAGACAGAAAATGTGAACAGTACCTAAAGGAAAATTAGGTCTTCCTAAATAATCTTTTCCTTAAAAGAACGAGTAGAGTCTGAGAGAGATTGAAAGGGAACGAATTTAAAATTATAAAAAGGAATTTGATTTTTTTACACAGTAAATCTGTATGGAATTTCAACACTTAAATGTGAGTGGTGCATAATTCAGAAGGATTCTGAGAGAATAGAATTAGAAGTAAAATATAAACTGAAGAATCCTGGGTCACATCTGTATCAGAACTTAAGGCAATTATTGACAGTACCTAGGGGAAAAAAAAAAAAAAGATTATAAACATGTTATCGAGCACTTATTTTTTATCAGATGTTTGGAAGCATCTGGTGCTGGGACACCAGAATATCACACTAACCAGGTATTGGTCAGAACCAGGATGTCACGACATATGTCTGCCAGAAATTAAACACTAAATTCAGGAAATTCAATATTCTCACTAATAAATCACTGCTAATTTATTTCACTAGTCCTTTGTTCTCTGAAAACCATATGAATTCAAGACAGCATTTCAGCTTTAACATTAAATGGCTTTTGTAAGTTTAAATTTAAACTTAATCCCTTAGGGATGAATTAACAGCTCAGTGAGCAGAAATTTAGCCAAGTGGCTCCCATTAACATGAGTGGAAGTCATGCGACTAAATTCACGTATGACATACTAAAGATGTGTCCATTAGTTTTAGTCCAAAATATTTTCCACTTCATTATTATTATTATTAGCCACATACAACTAATCAGTTTTATACTTTATTCTCCTTTGACACTTAACTCTAATTTTATTTAAATGCCTGGCAGTAAAAGCACTGAGGAGGGGCCTCTTGACATGCCAGTTTTAGAACCATGGAGCTGGTTTACTCTTTTCAAAGCTGATTTGAAATGCACTAACCTTAACCAAAAAGCCTTTAGTTGCATAATGAAGGACAAAGCTTCACGCTTTATGAAATCCCAATCACTGTTAATTTGGTTAAAAATCTCTGCCTTCTGCTGCAGGATAATGTAGGCCAGATTCAAACACAAGTCTCAATTAATTGCAAAAGACACCAGAAAGAAGTATAAGATAGTGGAGCAAAGAAGGTGTTTGTAGCAGCTGAAACCGAATCCTGCAGACCCCAGACCGCCTCTCTTGCCAGGCTGATTTTGCCTAACCGCTATCCCGGAGCTTCATCTACTGAGATCCTGGACCCACCAGAGCTACTTGTCCTGCACATGGAATGCGTGTCCTGAACAGTAAAAATGCAACTGGAAATCACTTAAAAGTTGTCTGGCATTTCTGAGCTACCCAGTATTTCTGGGTGAGAAAGACAGGCAGGCAAATTTTCCAGAAGCAATAGATTCGGTTTTGGCTTTGTAGCCAGTGCCTTGCAGTGCCGGAGTAGCTGCATGCAGGCAGCTGTGGGGACACTAATGCCCAGAGCGTTTGTTGAGAAAAAGGCTTCTAGTCCAGAGAGATTTCAAGGTTATCTTCTCCTTATGCTCTTAATGTTTTTTAATTCCCCCTTAGTTCCTATTCAAAGCTTCACACTATACTCATCACCAAGCGCTCCCTCCTAGTATCACAGGACTAATAGCTATCACGTGTAGCCTTTAATTTCCCCAAGCTGTGAATGCTGCTCCAGTTCCCTGAACAGACTGTACAGCTCTTTCCTATCATGTCCAATTGTAAGAAATAATGCAACAGCAGGGAAAATGAGAAAATGAGAATGCCACGGTAAGGGGTATCTTTTTCTTTATTGCCCTGGGAAATGCTAATAATGAGATCTCATGTCTTGTTTATAACCTGGAAGTTTGCCATAACTTTACCAAAATACTTAGCAGTTTCCAGAAGTAAATTAGTTCACAACTTGAGTAAACAGATAGTTTTATGGGTGGGTTTTGGTTGTTTTGGGGGTTTTTTTTGCAGGAGTCTTGTGATGCTCTGTGGTTTTCCACGGCTTCTGGGTTTGCTTGATACCAGAGCTCATGAACAAATACTCATGACTTACCACATAGTGTCACGAACCCTGCAAACCAAACAGGCCAAGTGCTGGCAGCATCTCAAAACATCTCTCAGGCACAGTCTACCATAAGTGATACTGAGTTATGTCACCCGGCTCCGTGCAAGGGAAAGACAAAGCAATTCATGGCAACGGATGGAGCACACCTTAATTAAATGCTTACATCTACTGCTGTCTAACTTGCTAAAGAGGAGCTGAAATGAAAACGTGTTTTCCATTGCAGTGCATTTCTTTGGAAATGCCTGGAGCTGCTCTTTAAAGAGAGGGGGGCTCTAAACCTGGAGATCACCCAGCCCAGAGGAGATGTGGGGGAACTCAGGCCAGGACTCACTTGAGCTCAG